ATATATATATATAAATAATCATCATGACAGTTAGCAACAAGGTACAAATTATTTGGACACTTAACTGTTCTCTCAGACCCTTGCCTGGTAATGAGTTGAAATATTAAAATTACATTGTCTTGTTTTATTTGATTTCTAAAATAAATTTAAGTTTTCCAAATAGATATACTATTTGAATAAACCTTTGGATAGAACATCTTTCATAAGCACTCATATTCTTTGCAGGAATTACTGACTGTTTTCAATCACTGCCGGGTTACATGCTGGAGGCATGGAAAAGAACCATGCTGTCAAAGCAATAGTGACAAAAACGTAAATGTACAACACAAATCTGTCAATGATCGTAGCGGTAAATCTCCATTGCAGCTTGGACCGTTCGTCCGTCTTGGTTGCCCGGCCTTGTGCGTCTTTGCCTTGCAGCGTTCGATGAATGTTTTGTAAGACTAGTACCATCTCTTCATTGTTGCCCTCGTTGTTGTTTCTTGACTTTAAGTTCCTACGGACGTCTGCCTGAAAGGCGGGGTTATTGTACTCGCTGCTGATGTTTAGTGCATCGCCATTTTGGCTTCCACGTGACTGACGGCGAAGGTTTGGGTCTGACAGTTTCTTTGTCAGCCATTTATAAGGATCGCTCTGGAGAGTAAGTGAAAATGCGCCATATCTATTGGGTTAATCATTAAATAATGCATTTTTAAAACATTTAATTCACTCAAAAGATTATGGAATAAATCTTTGAGAGGGAACCTCGGAAACCCAGCTATCCCAAAACAGTTGAAACTATTCAACTGGTAGTGCGATACCGGCATTTATGTCACTCTTCTAAATAGTTTTAAGTAATAAAATTAATATATTATCAATCACATTTACGAAATGTACGCCCCCCCCCCCTTTTTGGGGGGAGGGGTTTGGCGCAATTATATACACTTCTAAATATATTTTAGAAAATATTAACTCTGTAATTACCGCAAACACAAAGCAAAGATGTGTATATGCGTAATCGTGGAAAAACTTATGGAATGAAAAAAAATCGAACCACGTACGTCGATATTGACATCGTCACCAATGGCGTCGTCTGCTGCGCCCTTGAAGCAGACTACACGTCCCAGGCAGTTCAGGAACAACTTTTCCATCCAGAAAGGTAACGCTTGGCCATGCTCTCCTCGGTAATGGACACTGGTGACCATTATACTGCTTAGAGTGGAAACGCATATCAGAAGCAGAACGCAGCCCAAGTACATACCTGAAATTAGACAAAAAAAAGACCGATGCTAATTAGAGTTAATTGATATTACCCCAAAGATTTTGAGTTTTTAAAGTTGCTAAGATTGCAATGCACATTTGTCTTGGATGTTTAAACTCATTCAAAACGGCTTATCGTTATCTTCAAAGTAAGCATATGACAGAATTATTCGTCTTGAACCAGCACATATGGTTCTTTTACGATACATACATTAAGCATACATTAAGAAGCTCACGTTTAACTAAAATCAACATCTACTTAAATATTACATTTGCTTAATGTATTTATAAGATGCCAAATCAAAATTGACTTGAATGATACCAAGGGAAAAAACAAATAGGTGTGTATAAAGGCATGGAAATTTTACTTTTAAATGATAGTGGCATAATTATACCAAGAAACAGAGGCGTATTTAAACATTCAACATCACCAGTAGTAATGAAAAACATCGCACAGACTAATATAGGTGCTTACTCAAGACAGGAACAACTTCAGACTGCGTCGGTGTCAAGTCGGAAACCAGCTGCAAGAACACCATCAAAGCCAACACAGCAGTCACACCAAACGATACCTTTTCTCCAGATTCCACCGGCAAATAGAAACTTATGCCTGTCATGATCAGAATGACAATACACGGAAGAATAAGATTAAAAACATAGTATAATGGTTTTCGGCAGAGGACCAGATGAAACGTCACATCCGGGTACGGTTCCTCACAGCAGGCATAGTACTCGACCGTCCGTATCGCTGGCACGATGCCCAATTCCCATTGGCCATTTCTCACGAACGACGACGTATCTCCAAACGCCGTCTTGTTTATGACGTTCAGTTGAAATCCATGGTAATGCCAGGAACCGAATTTTATGGGACACCTTTGTTTGTCGTATGGGAAATGGTAGATGTCCATGATACAGCTGCTTTTTAAGATAATGGGAGTGTTCCAATGCACAATTCCGTCGCTTAACACATAGGCTGGGTAGGACGTGATCTCTCTCTCTTCTTCTCTAACGCTGAAAGTAACAAAAAGTTTTGTTGTGTTTTGTGATATCTTAAAGAATAATGGGTCTTTTTGCTTTCAATGGTGTTTGTAATGAAATAGCTGCCAGTAATTTCTGTAAAACAGAAACTGGTCTGTCAACTGAATTTTTCACAGGTTGAGAATAAATGACTGAAACTTTGTGAACAGTGCATACACACAAGCGTGCGCACATACTCGCACGCACTTTCACACACATGCACACGTTTACACAACATTTTTATTTTACATTTGCTCTCCGCTATACAGATACTTACTCATTATAGATGGTCAAATCTGGTCTCCAAATACTGCTTATCGCCACGTCAAACATTGTCTGGTTCGAGTACTCGGACGCGTTCCAAGTCAGTAATTCATCTCTCCACGACTGACAAGAGCAAACGATTCAACATGAAAATGAAAAAACGCAAGCGTCAGTATATTTTTTATAGTTTTGAAATACATGTAAGTCTCCCCTAGATTCAGCATAACGGAAACTCTCCATCTTACTAGCATTTAATTTCTTTAATTTTATTACTTTTATACTATTTTATTTTATCTTTTGTTCTTGATTAAAATAATTTTTAAAGTATTGCAACAAAGGAGAAGGAAGAAACTTTAAGCACCCTACCAAACTAACCAACATATTTGGGGATTTTGAAACAAAGTAGGCCCTATGCTTGAAACTAAAAACATCTAGATCCCGAGATATTTTCTTTGTCGTGTGTTATGCAGTTTTTATAAACAGAGTGTAATAGCAAGTTGTAATATAGATTGGGTAAACAAGCCACATACCTGCCTGAGCCAGATGCTTACAAACAAGATTTGTTCGGCTGCATTCTATAAAATAAAGCAAATAGAAATAGCTGGATTCAATTTGGTGCTTGATCATAAAAAGAACCAAATTGTTTGTGCTTTAAACAAAAAGTTATTTAATTATGGTGGACTGCCCTGGAATTAACCTGACAGGAAGTGGACTAAATTAGTGGTCTGAAAAGTTACGATCAACTCTGGCGACCTTTTGAGCAACTGGTCCCAAATCTCACTTCTGTTTAGCTAGTCTAGTAAACGGCTATTTCCGATATTAACTCTTGCCATAAAGTATGGATTTTTCCAACACCATGTCGATGTTTTGATAACAATAAGGTCCAACTTAGTAAAACAATAAATTATTGAATTAGTGATATACAGGAACATGTACATGAAACATTGTTACCCTTCGAATTTGCAAGACAGAATTTGAACAGCAACTGCATTTGTTGAAAAGAATAAATTATTGAATAAGTGATATACATGAAACATTGTTACCGTTCGAATTTGCTTGACAGAATTTGAATTGCAACTGCATTTGTCAGCGACAATGACACACTAGGTGAATGCACATGTGACATTTCATTCTACTCCGATCTATCAGGCTGGGTATATAACTTTAACATCATACAATATTTATGGATTTTTCCACTTCCGTAATCTGATAATTGTTCCAAAGTCATTGCTAAAGCTCGGCAAATCAATGACTTTGTAGAAATTGCCATAGTGTTACTAAAAAACGAACGCATCTAAAATTTTGAAATATTGCATACATTCATGCAAAAGTGCTTACTAAGTGAAGGTAGACTAAATTCAGAGACTAAAAATTATAGAGAATAAATTACCAATTCTATGACTTGGTTGATACTGATGTCCACGCTGACGTTCACGGCGTCACGTGGGTCCAAGACAGGCCTCAGGTTGGTGTCGTAGGTAGACAAAAGAGATTTCTTTAAGTCGAACAGGTTCTTGTACTCCACACTACGGCCGCTTGTTGCTAAGAAGAAAAAAACACCACTTACATGAATATGTAGAGTCAGTTTGCAATTTTTCTTTTATCTACAAACAAATTAATATTTTTTCACAGGTACACAAATCTTTCCTACCTGTATGTCCCCATTTCCAGTGAGACACTCAATAAGAAATGTTCACAACTGGACATGGATACCGCACCCTGTTTCACAAGTTTACGCGTTGGCCCTTCTACACTAATATATGAGGAAGTACGAAACCATGATAATATGCTGAGTTGCAGAAAAAAGCCCTGACACTAAAGGTGTAGGTTAACATGCTGTGTGCTAGGATAAAAAAGAGGGTCCCATTGGGTTTTTTCATTACTCGTGAAAGCATCTTTTTATTTTTCCACGATGCGTGAAACGTTCATATTATTTAGCGTGATCCGTGAAGCTCTCCATTCCCGTGACTCATGAATGCGGATATTTATTCCTCATCCTTCGTGAAACGCTGTAATTTCAGTCGGTGATTCGTGATTTTCAACTCATCAGACTCGCATTTTTAATGAGATATGAGAAAAGTTTAATTACGTTTAATTTACTGTGATTAATAACTTGATGATTTTTATTTCCCGTAAACTGGATCATTGCCTCCCCCCCCCCCCCAATGGGACCCTCAAAAAGGGTGTCATCGAAAGCACCCTGAAACTCAAAGTGTGGAACAAAGTTTACCCATATTGGTACAGAGAAGCGATCGCCAAATAGGAAAACGTCACGTTGGAAGTGGAGAGAGAGAGAGAGAGAGAGAGAGAGAGAGAGAGAGAGAGAAACTCGTATTTTCCTTTGTATCTAACACCCCATTCTCATAGATTAGATCGACCTACATTGGATCGACCTAACTCCCTGGGGGTTCACGCTAAATAGCTGTCAGCCGGGCGGACACGAAAGTTAATTACCCCTTAAAGCTTGTAGTAGCCGGGGACGGACACTTGAGGGGGATTATCTGACAGTAATCTAGTGAGACTCCCCGCGGTGATAGATCGATCTAAAAGTTGTGAGAACAGAGCCATAGATTCACTGTGATGGCCGCCTGTTGTATATATAGCGATAATGTTGCGTTTCATGGCCACTGCTCGTGAAATAATATACCTCATTTTAGGTGGTTACTGATCCGTAAAGGACATTAAGACACATCAAGTTACTCAGTCGTTGAATGAGAATGTTAAGCGGCCTGTTCTTAAACCTTAAACTATCAAAACAATCCTTTAGCCATCGGACATTTTGTATATTTAAAAGGTTATAACTATTCAAGAATTTTAGAGTAAAAGGTAGAGCTTCGGCTACACAGTAGGCAGTGTGGCATGGCGTTGCTTTCCCACCATTCGAACTCAAGTCAAACAATTTTCATGCATAAAAAATGATGAAGTTGACATTTACCTCACCATTCAGTTGATAGCATCCAGCTATCATGACACGATAGGCAGGGTGGTAAACACTGGCAAGTGCTCAGAGTGCTAGTCTATGCCTTAAAAAGGTGAAAAATATTTACCGCACATATACCAGATGTGTGAGGACACGGTCTCGCTTGGTTACTTTAGCACTGCTTTAGGTAAAGTTCAAGTACCTATTAATTAAGTCGGTTTAGGCGTTACTCTATTACTTGTGCTCACCACAATTCTCAAAACGGCAAGGTGATTGAATGAGGCGTTAATTAGCGCTTATAACGTGACGTATCCGCACACGCGCGTGCTTGCGTGTATATTTTCCACCCAGTAGAGTTGTCTGTAATGTTCAGTTTTATATCTTGGAGGCCATTTGCTACTGTTGACAGAAATAGTAGAATATCGAAATGAATAATTTATGTTTTAATGAATTAGTTGCATGTTATTAAAGGTGTAAATTGGACGCAACATTCAAATGCGTAAATATGTATAGTTCAAAGTGACCCATACAACATATTCCTTTTACTTCAGCTTTGAATAAATCATGGACATAATCTCTCATTATGTCCATGAATAAATGTAGAACGGAGAATGCCGCCCCCCCCCCCCCCCCCCCCCCCCCACCTTGACACCTGTAAAGTCATTGCCTCAACCAACATCTACTTCAAAAAACCAAACTGAGGAGTCCAAACGGACTAGTGTTTACGTGACATCGCGTGTTCAGTGGTAAGGGTTTCAACTTTTTATCTAATACAAATTTCTTTATACGTCTTACACAATGACCTGCACATGGCGTATAAGACCTACGGTAGTGCTAACGCTCAACTGTCTACTTACATACAATCTGGCAGGCGCATACTGTCAGCAGGAAGAAAAGAGCCCGTTTCGGTGTTTCCATCGCCATGTTATCAAAGTACAAATAGTCCGATGTCACGCTCTGAAAACGCTGGTATATAATTGTATACAGAACCCGATTATACTTGGGACGTCATGCCTGATATGCCTTCCAATAGATGTCCATATGACAACGGTGAGTAGAAGTCAGTGGCAAGGCAACGCCGAGTAATGCGCCCGTAATTATTTAGGTTGTCATGGATCTCTTGTAACCATTTTCTCCGTCCGGTATGAGTGGTCAATCAATCAATGCGACTGATGCTGAATATGTAACAAGTATTTTCTAAGTAAAATCGATGTGTAATAAGCATTTCTAAAGAAACGAGGTAAGCGGCCTTTGTTAGTCTGATGTGAAACGCAACGCAGTCGGCTAAAGTAGGATAAGGTTTGAGTCTAAAAGCTGACTTCAAACTTTTGTGAAACAGACTCATAGCAATCTTGAACAAAACTACGTTATTTTCGTGTGGGAGTATGTGTGCTTGCGTGCGCGTCTTTGTTTACGACCAACAATCTTCTTTCCTTTATTTCAAACAAAATAATTTATGACAAAATTACACTTTTTATAAGACCAAACGCATAACAAAACACCAACCAAATAAATGAAGCAAAAAAAAATTGAATCTGAGACAAGTTCATCTCGTCACACCGTCATGTCAAGATGTCATGGCTGAGTGACACTCTCCAGACAATGTGCTGACATGGCAACTGATGTACGTAGTGAACATCAATAAAACACAATGGCAGCGCCAATTCTGCTGCTTTGTGAGTCGTGCAACATATCAAAGCTCCGAGCTTGGACCTAAATATTTAGGTCCAAGCTCCGAGTGAAGTAACCACAAGTACGCTATGTAATAGATAGACCCCGAGTCAGCTAGGGTTATGTGGCATACACGAGTGCGAAGCACGAGTGGATGTCACATAACCCTCGCTGACGAGGGGCCTATCTTATTTAGACCACGGGTCCATTAGCGGGTTATAACGCATTCACGCAAGACGCTCGGTTATGTGAGTTACACCACGTCCGGGTCTTTTGTACACCACTTCCACCGTGGTCTAAATACCTTGAACTGAGCGTTGATCCCCAGTGCATTCAGAACAGCGGACTAACAGATCCACGGATCAAATATGGCCAACCCACTTGAATGCTTGTTGCGTAATCCCCGTGAAGAATCTATTCAATGTCTAGTCTCGAGTTAAACGACACGCGACACGCTTTTTAGTGGGTCGCCATATTTGATCCGTGGATCTGTAAGTCCGTTATTACGTTGTCCGTTGTACACAATCACTCAATCATGATAAAAGAAAATTTTAAAAAAGTGCATCTTCTTCAAAGTTTTGGTCGTAAATTTTCCCTACTAATCTAACCTACTTACAGGTGTATCTGCCCCGATTATTATGTGTACCACAGAAAGTAAGCAGAAAATATTTGTTCAAATTTTTTTCAGTAATATGAAACCATACCATTCGATATATTTTCTTTTTATACTATTGGACACTATATGGTTGGCATTTGGGACTCCAAATGCATCTTTCAAATTGTCAGATATACACGCGTTTTCATTCTCTTGAAGCAAATCTCTCATAGAATTTTGGTTTTCCACAGCATGATAATGTTTGTTAGTACTGTGAACAACCCGCCCTATCTAGGTTGGGTGTGTGGGCTTTGGGTTTGAAGGAAGAAATCATTGTGCCTGCAAAAGCCAGCCTTTTCCACTTTCAATTTAGAATTAGCATTTGTTCTTGAATTTCACTTGCAAAACAACTGGACATATAAAAATATATAAAATAAAATCAATTCTATAGTAAAAAATCCCCTTATCTATTTTTTTATTGTAAAATCCATATATTTACATAAAAAACCTTCCCCTCCCCTGCAGCGTCGTCACACGGCAAATTATGTTCCTAGCTAATGCCTGTGCAGCTGTAAATTTCCATAGAATTTTATTAATTATCACCGACTTTTCTTCGCAATCTCACTTGTCCCAGATCTCTTGTTATCATTATTATTTTCTTTCAGGTAAATGACACGAGGAGCAGCACATTTTGCATTTCGAGTTTTGTTATATTGTTGTAAATCGTTCACGTGCTAACATGTTTCATAATTTCAATATGGCTCCTGCATCCTCGAGTATAACGTGAGGTGCAGTGTTAAATAATGGGGACTTTTTGTACCTCTTCCCAGTTGTGAAACCAGTCTGCATCAGGCTTTACAACGGTGGAATAGACTACATAACTGAGGAGTCAGGTGGAACAAAAGAACTTATATCGAAAGATGATCTCAATTTTAGACAAAAAAATAACCTATTGTCCAACAGGACAAAACTCAGTGACTTAAAGGAGAACATTGTATATGTTTTTTTAAGTTGTAAGATTTATGAAGAGATTCGTGTTTAAGAAGGATGTCCACTTCTTTCAATCTTTTTTAAAACAAATTTAGCCTAGCAAGTTTGACCTCACAGTTAGGACAAACTTCCTACTCCAGTCCTTCACTGACACCGGTCTCAGACCAAAGTGCATTGAAGCAGTGGTCCATATCAACTGTCACACAGAAAAAGTCATATATAAATAGACGCACTAGTGCACTTAATGTCACCGCTTAAAAAAAGAATCTAAGGCATTTAGCCTATCCGCGAATAGAGAAAAGAATGAACTATATGAAAACGCGCAGGCGCATATACAAAATGAAAGTATAAAACACACTCGACTACCTGTTAATGAATAGTGTCAACATCAGCGTCAATAAAAGTGCTCTAATAATCAATTAATAAAATTGAGCTTGTTAGGAGTCTTATAAGATTTGCGAGATTTAAGAATCAATGTTAACCTTTTAAAATGCATTAAATAAGCTGCAGTTTCTCAAAACCTACCGAGTAATAATGTGATAAACAATGACTCTTATTTTGAGTCACTTTTGGCAAACACACTTTAATGGTCGTTCGCTTTTTTGCCGTATTCTTTAAAAAAGAATCCTTTAAAAAATATTAAAAGAACTTTTTTATTAAACTTTATTGTTGAAGAAAGATGTGATTATTGCTTTGTGTATTATTTGTTGGCTTAATTAGCGTGAAGGACATAGGAACACGTGCAGAGCGCGTATGTTCTATACAATTAGTTCACACAATGTCCTCCGCAATGCGGTGCTGGAAGACATCTACTGGTTTGTATAAAACAGATAAAATGCTGCTACCTGCGGCACGTGCATGGAAAAATAAATCTTCAAATCTCAGGTTGAAATACCGCGGGAGATGCTGCGGGAAAACCCTCTAGAATAATACTGCATTGCGGATGAAATCAGAGTTTTAAAAGTTTGTGGTTTTTTGCTGTATTGCTGTAACCACGGTCTTTTTGTTCAGTGACTTCCCTGCGGACAGTTTGGCGCAGATGCAAAAAACATCACAGTTGCAATTACAGTGACAATAAAGTAAATATACATGGCCAAAGTATCAATGATTACTGCTATGAGTTGCCATTCTGTCTGTAAGCTATCATCTTTACGGACTTCTTTTTTATGCGTTTCCTCGGCTTCAAATTTATGAAGTATCTTCTGCAGAATTCGGTTTGTTTCCAACCGAGGATCTGGATCGTCTTGGAGCAATTGCATCTGAACATCGGACGGGTCGGCAATGTCCGGGGATTCTCGGCTTTCATCGATGCACGCCAACACGCTCCCCTCGCTGTTGTTGTGGACGCCATTGTGGAGTTCGCCTGTGAATTTAAACTTTCCGACTTTTTGTTCCTTTTCGGATTTGTGCTTTTTAAAAGTCAGTAGTTGTTTGGACCTTTTCTGAAATATGCATATATTCCATAAATGTCCATTCAGAACATTTTAAACGTTCAAAACCCTTATAGGCCTAATTATTAAAATCAAAAATAACAATGTGCTAAATAGGACAAAAGATTCCGGGAGTCAAAAGAAATTTTCTCTAAATCATACTTCCATTCCATTAACAGAAGATCATCTTTTAATTTAAAAGATGTCAAATTGCATCACATTTACTTAAACATGAAAATCCCAATCCCCTTCTTTCTCTTTAAATTAACTTTTTAATCACGCACGCGCACACTCACACACACGCGCACACACACAAAGATCATATCAAAGACTTTCTATAATATTTACCTTCCTATAGATCCCTCCTAGAGCTTCCCTGACCGTTTTTCTCTTACACGTGATAGTTGCCAGGTAACCAAAGAACAGCGTTTGCATCCATCCGGGCACTTGGTGTCCGCGCTCACCGCTGAAGTGGTAATTACTGACCAAAACGCAGGAGGCAGTGGACAAACAGAGGAGAACCAAGACCACGCCGAAGTAGACACCTAAAAAAATTAATTGGCAAGCAGATTCACGACACATTTTATACAAGCAAAGGAGAAATAATTTCAAGTTACAGTATTGTATCTAAAGACAATTATATACTCGTGGTATGGAAAAAATAGCCATATAAAATTTCGGGGACAAATGGATGCAACGTTTTTGTCGTTTCACCGCAATGGCAATAGCAGAATCCTCGTGGCACAACTAAAGCATCAGCCGTGATCACATATTTTAGAATGCACAGATGTGGGATTGTCCATCAATTTTGTACAAATATAAATGTATTACTGTTTTTACTATAAAAAGAAACAAGGCCCTAACACTACATGTACGTCTAATAGGCCAATAGATCGGGATAGACCGAGCTGACAAACAAACAAACAAACAAGAGAGCTGTGTTTGACTGAGTACATTTTATGGAATACTTCACCAGTGGAAGTTAATAGTAATCAGCTCATATAAAATTTTCTCACATAGGAATATATATATAACATCTCAACTTACCCAGCAGAGGCAATACCTCTGACTGTGTTGGAGTCTCTGAAGCCACAATCTGCAAGAACACCATCAAGGCAAGCACGACTGTGATGCCAAAAGAAACCTTCTCCCCAGATTCAACAGGCAGTTTAAAACTAACAGCAGTCATCACCAAGATGAGGATACAAGGAAGAACAAGATTATACACATAAAACAGTGGTTTGCGACATAGCACCAAATAAAACGTCACATCGGGATACGGCTCTGGACAGCAACCGTAAACCGTTACTGTTCGCCGAACTGGCACGTCCAAAAGTTCCCAAGCTCCATTCAAGACGAAAGATCTCATGTCTCCGGTTGAACTTTTATTAAATAAATCCAACTGGTTCCCGTTGTAGTTCCATGAACCGAATTTTAATGGACAGTCGTGCTGGTCGTATGGAAAGTAACGGACGTTCATGCGGCAACTTGCCCGGTATATGATTGGCGTATTCCATTTGACTGTCCCGTCACTGCGGACGACTGCGGGGTAGCTTGTCACGTCTCTCTCTTCTTCCCGAACACTACAGAATATCAGAGATAATATTAACAATACGTAAAACCCTTTCTTTATAAACTACAGTCAAAAACTTACTTAATATCCTGCTTTTAACAGAATTTATAAGCTATATAGGCTAATAATGACGCACTGTTTTAAAAATTGATTTTTTTAACAAACATTCAACTGACAAAATACGAAAAAAAGACCCACAGTAACTTGAAACCTTTTCTTTTGTTTTTAAATAGATTATTATATAAATATAATTGTTTTGTTTCTAATTCTGATCAAATTTATATAAGCTAATTGATGCTTAGGCACCTAGCGCTTGTAGGCCTTTTCGTTTTGTTGTCATCTAAAAACTTCGCTCCAGGATGAAATTCCTTTAAGCCGAAAATTTTGATGATTCTATACAATGATAAATTTGTCGAAAAGGGAGTGAATTTACTATTCTATCGGTACATTTGGTGCAAAGGCGTCAGACTAAAATTCTCTGGGCTAAAGTGAGCACAGTCTTTTTGGTTTCATTCATAGCCTTATGCACCACCTTTGAAGTAAAGTCCAAGGTTAAAGAGCTACTTGAAATGCAGCATGGTTATATAAACCTACAAATGTTCCTACCTTAACCAACATCAACGCTCCATGCATTTTAAACAAAAAGAGTTGAAGTAACAAGAGGTGACTGTTCATTTTGACACACGGATAATGTCCCTCGCTGCCCAATATTGGGTTATTTGGGCACGTGAGCCGATTCATCAGCGTTATTCAGGTTTTTTAAACCAGTAACATGCGCCATTTGCCTCTCAATCAAATCATAATCGACTTAAAAATAGTTTGTCACATTCACCTATAAAATTGTCACTGAATTTTTATTTAATACTCCAATCATATACACTGATGCTCATAAGTTAAGCAACACCCCGTTTTTTCAAAAGTTTCTTCTGTCATGATCATTATTTCATTTATTGGTGGGGTTATGCATATTTCTTTCATATTTTATAAATGACATATTAAATTTGAATATTTCGGGTAAAGAAATACACAAAATAGCTTATTGTAATAATCAAAATAACTTTATTAACCAAACGGTACTAAAATATGCCAAATCATGTGTCAAAAAAGTATGCTCACACAGCAAAAAGTACGTGATGATTAAAACAGCTTATTATGAAAAAATAAAGTTCGATCATCTAAGAATTAGTTTTAATAAAAGAAGACTGTAGATAATAGATGATTAATCGTCTATTATGCAATAAATATCGGGTGTGCCTTCCCTGGTTTTGAACAACAGCTTCACATTGTCTCCTGCAACTTGCCACCAAATTCTGCCAATCTTGCTTTGAGAGCCGGTTCCATTCTTCATTTACTGCCTGCTGGACCTCTTTAATGTTTCTAACTGGAGGTTGTCTCTCATTTACTGCCCTGTCAATCATATCCTAAGCATGTTCTATTACATTGAGAATTGGTAAATATGCAGGCCAATCCAAATGTGGGATACCGCGCTGTTGCAGCGCGTCTTGCACGGACCATGCTTTCTGGATGGGCGCATTGTCCTGCACCAAAATGATTTTTCTTTCTGGATTTGCTTGAGTGTGTGATTGTATGCACCCCAATGGTCTTTCGTCTCTGTATTGTTGACCAGGGCACCTCCCTTGAATGACGTACGGTGGCAATTTTTCATTGTTTGGTTGATATGAACTGGGCCTGGTGGCATAATCGAACCAGATATCATCATCTCTTGCGTCGGTTAATATTATTCTACCAGAAAGAGGCTTGTCCAATACATGGTGAGTTGGGCGACATTTTGCTACCAGCTTGGACACTTGACTTAGTGCTACATTTTTGTTGCCTTGCAATCTGTCTCTTTGGCACCCCAGCACGATGGCTTCCCATTATTTGCCATCTGATTACCTCGTTGAGTCCTATTCTAACCATTGGTTGGTCCAAAATAACAAATTGTGCCCATGAAAAAAGGCCAAACTGGAAGCTCCTCATGGCATGACCAAACTGTTTTTCGCAAGTGGGACCCCCATTGCATATTCTATCGTGTCCAACAGCAAATAGTACTCTAATGTCACGGTCCAGTAAGTCAAAGTAAAAACAAGAGAAATATCTAGCTATTGTACAAATTTTGCCTCAATAAAATTTTTGGTTGCTGAGAAATTCGAGAAATAAGAAAGTGTTGCTTAACTTATGAGCATCAGTGTATATATTCTTTTAATCTTAAAAGATCATTTTTTTTTTTTTTGCCCTCCGTACTCACTTTTCGGCATATGCGGCACATTTAGCCCGAGAAAAGTAACTGACGACACGCGAGATTGGCCTACTAGTGCTTCATAAACAATACCTGGGTTTAGGGGTTAGAGCAGAGGTAAAGCAACAGTAAAGTTCCTGGACTGGCATTGAAAGATATTGTTCGTATGGTAACTTTCAGCGTACCCTCCTCAGTGAGGTGAGATAATCCACACTAGTCTGAATCAGGACAAATTAATAGACATATTGCCACCTAGTGCATTAAAATGCATGTGTAGGGCCTATGTAGAGTGCGGTATATAAAAATACTTTTTAAAAACTTTTTTAATCACAAATTACCATTAATTATTTCCGTTTTGGCCATATGCATATCCAGACATCTTGTCACCCTATTCCCTAACTCATTCATTTATTGTAGTGCCAATGTGATACAGCATAGAACATTAGGGCCTATGGAACAGGTTAGATAGTGTGCAGTTGCTGCCAGTGTCATCTCTGTGCACCACCGTGACAAAGACGTCAAAATTAAAACGCTACTTGCAGTACTTAAATGTTGTGTTTGTCCTTGAAAACTCATACTTGAGACAGCGTTGCGTGTATTTAAAATTTAAAATAAAGTGACACGACACTGGCATTTTAATGTGGTGTCAGAACACGCCATGAAACTAGCATAATACTTCAGGAACGAGATCTTAAATTGAAAGGAGGTTCATTTTATTTGACTTGAATTTATTTGGCAGTATGTGTTGTCTTCAGGTGATAACCCAGTTTTAATCAATGCTCAACGGTCACTTGAACAAAATAGGACAATACTCTTATGTTTGTATTTTTAACAATCTGTCCACAGCAACATAAATACCATTTCTGTATCAAAATACCTCCTCTCATTTTGAATAATTATCTACAGCTAATATGTCAGTTTATATCTAATTTATCAAAATTTTGCTCACATATCAATGTGCACCGTCATGCTAATTAGAAAATGTCTGATTTCCAAAAAATGGGACTACTACATGTTAAGGATTTTTATTTACTTCTTAGTCTTAAGTCCAGAAAAAGGGGCAGTATTTCAAAGCACGTTTTCTAAAATGGACATATTTTGCTTGGCAATAGAGAAATATTGGATGCCTAATATGCACTAAATACACACCTACTGGTAAATACCAGAGTCCCTTATTGAGAATAAAAAATGGTGTTGTCAATGAGCCTGATACATAAGACAGGCCCCAAAAAATAATACAAAGCCCACCCTAGCCCCATTCTACTTAGGACAGCCATCCCTTCCTTAGAAATATTCAACCGATTGTAGATTCAAAATAAAATAAATCTGACCACAAGCGGTCACAATCTAGAACTTGCGGAGCGAAAGGGACATTCCCAATAAAAGTTATGTTATTTTTTTATCTCACTTACTCATTATATAGAGTCGTATCTGGCCTCCATATTGATGTGATTGGGATATGAAATGACGAGATGTTATCATGGTCACTGGCGTTCCACTTTAGCAGGTGATCTTGCCATTCCTGCAATGATAAATAATTCTTGGTTTAAGATGGCTATCAGTTGGGTGTCGGAAGGGAGTAGCACAGTGTATTTACCTGAACCAAGAGCGGCTGAAAAGCCCTATTACTGGACAAGTCAGTCCTAAAAAAAAAGAAATTGAAACCCCCACTGATGTCTGAAAGCCAGAGTAACGTGCAGCATTCCATTTCCTCAATGGACAAATAGTCGATGGTTTAGAATCGCCAAAATATAAATTGTGGTTACAGAAAATTACTGGTGTGTCATGACCTTATCATAACTTTATCCAGGATGGTCAATGTTATTTATATACTTTTTGTGTTTAAAGTTTGGAGCTATCAGATCATGATGGGGCCGAGTTTGAGGTCTCTCTGCACGGGGTCATGCAGTCACCATTAGAACAGGACCAGCACTCTTCTTCCATATTGGTATATGACTGTGTTAAAGCACTTTGTACATTGATAAATACATATACTTTTAGTCATCTTTACCTTAAGGAAAATAATAATAACTGGGTTAATTCTGGGGTATGGTTCATTATGAAACGGAAAAGATCACGTTACTCCCACATGTATCATACTAGTACATAGCTATGAAAATACTACAAAAAATACATAAAATGATGGATTCCATTGTCAATTTTTACTCCATCATCATAAATATGGAAATTACCATTAAATGGTAATTAGATTTTTAAAGTACACTACAAAATCGCCTTGGATGTAGACCTTAAAATGAAAGGTATTTTACTAAGAGAGAAAGGAATCATAACTATGTAGGTTTTTTCTTCGTGAGTAGTAGAAAGTGGCGTGGGAAAAATAAATACCTGTAAATAGTGTTCTACGTATCGGCATAGTAAGATAAAAAGTCATGGCAGGGAACGTTTACCTACGGGATCCCAATTCATATTTGTGCTCTCTTTATCTACAGTTTGTATAATTTATGTTATAAAGCGCATTTGTTTACATTAAATTATCTCCCTTTGTATATTTTCTTATCCATCTATTTCTTAGCGTTATTTGTGTATTTGTTATTCCTTTTATATAGCATATATTTTACAATAATGGATAAACAAATAAAATGAAGAAATACAGCTAATATTATATATCAACATCATGTCTACCTTGATAAATATTTAGCCCACGATGCGGTAGTTAAAGCATTTTGGTTTAATTTTCAATATGTATTTGATCTTATTTTTGCCTATTGCTGAAACAAAAAAAGAAAGACCCGAAATTTGTGCAGGGCTGAATTAAACTATTTCCCAACCAGAGAAGTAATAATTCCAGGTGCAATGTTAGTGTTTGGAGACAGCGGGGAACAGATTGTTTGCACGTGGGATCTTATTTGTAAAACAGTATCAGCCCACTTTGCTTTTTTTCGTTAATTGTTATTTTTCTTAACATCTGTAAATATTTGGACTGCTTAATTCAGTCGGATAGGCTTGTACCTTCACAAAGTTAACACAAAACACCCCTTCCCCCAAAAGATGACGGCAAACTAGCAAAGCATGGTAGGCCTATTCGTTACATCTAGTTTTGCTTCATCGATCATTTTTACAAAAATTTTTGTTCGTTTGTTTTCTTGACAAATTTAAAATATCTGAGACACCTTCATAGAGATAATAAATACTTCATGAGATAGAAAAACATTCAAACCGAAATTGCACAACATTCCCTGGAATTTGCCCTTCAAAGCTACAATCAACAAGGAAAATGCTGTGCGTTAAAAGTTTACACGATCTTTGCATGGCATATAAATACAGCACACAGATCATATCTATGAAGTGCGTGATTACTGAACGCTCGCTTACTTTTAGTTCGTTATGCCTAACGAGAGATATCTATTAAACCGAAAGACGAACCCATGTACGCTAAGAGAGCATTCACATCGAGAAGAGCCGAGGTCTAGCAAGGCCGAGGCCTAAACATGGCGGACCTACATGAAGGAATCCTTTAATGGTCTCTCAATGACATTCATTCTCTAAGATCACATATTGAGAGGAGAAATGGGTTGGGTAATGCTTCTAATGGGATTTGTGTCGTTAATATTAACTGTCATAAAAACTCTCTCACCATGAAATAGAAACGCACCCTCAATCTCTCAGCAAGACTTATCCATATTATCAAAATAGTATTTTTTTCTTTTATTTTCAAACTGTAGATCTAGGCCTAACTTTTTGCAGATATTTTTAATAATTCAAAAATTTACCCAACCCTTCTATTCGAATATTGGCCTGAATTTATATTTTCTGTTCAATCTATATAGCGTAGAAGCCAATTAGTTGCGCAACACTTATCAGCGAGTTGTCAACAGTCGAGATTACCCCTGGTGTGGTGAATTACTATTTATGGCTTTTTATAGCTTAAAACTCAGGCCTACCCAACTACCAGACTCGGCACATAAGGATCCTGAATTAACCGGTATATCGGGCCACACTACCCATTTTCAATGGGTGTGTGTCAGATCGCATTTCGGAGTATCAGTCAGAACACCGACAGGATGAGCCCACGCTCGACTGTCACCTTGATTGGATAGTAAACGGTTGTCGTAAAATCGCTATATGCATAAATTTGAAAACCACCTAGAACAACCTTAGACTGCCACATAAATCTAATACAATGCAAAAAAGCCCAATCAAAAGTGGTTAAAGCATTCAAACCGAATGTCGTAAAGTCCCCATATAACCCCATAGAGACAATAAAATAGAGTAGTCTAAAGTAAGAGTACAGTCTAAGGTTGTTCTAGGTGGTTTTCAAATTTATGCACCCGGTTTTAAAATCATATAGCGATTTTACGACAATCGTTTACTATCCAATCAAGGTGACAGCCGAGAGTGGATGAGCCCGCGGTCGTCCTACAAAATTTTGCTCTGGGGTGTGATACTCCGACCTTGAAAACGGGTAGTGTGGTCCGATATACCGGTTAATTCAGGATCCTTATGTGCCGAGTCTGGTAGTTGGGTAGGCCTGAAACTGATCCCGACACCAACAACCGCAGCACGTAATGGGCACAATATTTTTTCACACAGGGCAAATAGACCTCCCTCTGAGCCTGTACCTGTAACATATGTGTCTGTGATTTTTCGGGCATTGTGTAGGGCCTACATGCTGCTGTCACTTCAAAATTGTTTACAGATTCGCCTGTTGTTCGGTGAATTGCTGCACATGCACCTGCTGTTTCGCCAATTTTAATACGCGTGGTCGTTCTTTGTGGGATTGTAATACACGCACTATTTGTACCTGTTCATCATCATTAGCACCTTACTGGCAATTTTGCCAATATAATCCAGGTGCAAAAAATGTCAAACTTCCACGCGCAGAACGGGTTCTAATTTTCACAATCAAAAATGAAAATAGTAAAGTTCAAAAGTTTTCTAATGAAAAAAGTGAACTTTCACGTGTTGAATTCTCCTGTTTTAAAATAACATCTTCGTGATCATGAATCAGCTTTTATTCCAGGACACTTGGCTTTGAACATATTTCATAAAATTACTAGAGCACTTCTTGGAGTCACCCAATACAGCCCCTGGATTTTCTCCCTGCATGCAGGCTCATTTTAGCCGGAGTCACTTCAACTATCCAGGGATGCTTAAATCACAGGTATAGGTAAAACTCAAGGTGAAAATTGTGGAAAGGCTACTCTCCCAAACTGCAAAAAATATGTATTCCAAATTTATTATGGATTTTGATGATGGATTCCCAATTAAACCGAATGTTAATGTACAGATGTTATACGTACCTGTCTTACCCATATACTGACAAACAAGGTCTGATCTACGGCGCTCTGAAATGAAAAAGGTAAAGATTCTCATACGGTGCTGTTACTTCCACAGAATAAATATTTCTAAAAATAACACACGTAATGAAGGGTACAGTATCAGTCTGTCTGTTAATGCAATCCATTATTTATTTATTCATTTACCTTGCATGTTATTTTACAGTATATCCATCTAAACAGAAATGTTAGAATAATCTAATAATTGCCGCCAATGTCCTAATATTTCGTCAGAAGAGCAATATGGGAACATTTAAGCGGAGTAGTAATATGAAAAACCTGTTGATTGTACAACCCCACATATAAGCTTATATGCGGATGGGTCATATTTGCACACATGGGGCTCTGTTTTTAAGGCATTTTAAAGAAATATTTTTATGACGCCAACGTTTTGCTGGAATCCAGTACTGCTTAACACCACTAACTGTTTCCATCACAAAGCTCCTATTTCATTGCTTTTGATTTTTTTTCATATTTTACGCTTCGAACTAGTTCCATGTTGATTTAAAACAGCGTGTTACGATATATCTTATCTTACATCTCTTAAATTGGAGTAATTTTATTTGATTAACCTATTTCGGCGAAAAATGGCCACTTCAACTTCAACTAGCACCACTACTACAAGTATTTTAATACTTAGTTAAAACTACTACAGCTTTTGGTGGATGTAGTTGCAGTGCTGCTGCTGTTGTTGCTGCTACCATTACTGCTAAAATCATGATCACAACCACCAATACCACAACTACTCCTACTTCTACTAGCCCTTGTGCTACTACTACTTCTACTACAACCTTTTACTACTACTACTAGTCTACTACTACTACTACTACTACTAACCCTGGTGTTGCTGCTGCTACTACTACTACTACTACCAACATCATCCCACCACCACAACAAATACTACTAGGCCTAAATTTGTACTACTACTACTACTACTACCTTACCAGTTCTATTAATTGGTTTACGGCTATGTCAATGAGCACCGTCGTTGGCAAGGACTGGTTCCAGATCGGTCGGCTTCCGGGTTTGTAATTTTTCAAAAGGTCTGCCTTTAAATTCGTCAAAGAAGAATAGGAATCTGCTCCGTGTGCATGTGTTCCTAAAATTATATTTAAAGATAAAACAGTGAGCTGGTCAAATTAAGCAGCTTCCCTATACATTTGTAAGTCACGGAACGAGTTGATACATGTATTACAATTAGTCTAAAATACATTATGTGACAAATATTTAGCAACAGAACACCTGATGATTACAAAAAGCAATTTTGATTTAAGTCCAAATTTCCCATTAATGATTTAAGTTGTTTGTAATCATGATAACAACTATTCTCTAACGAATATGAATGTAATCTGAAAATAACAACGATTGAAGGGTCACATTAAAAACTGTTAACCATTTGTCTCTGTAGTGTCATAAAACTTGTATATTGACATTCGTTGTCTAACTGGGTACTCTCTGATATGGATATCCTCTACCTGTAACCTATTATTAAAATACCAAGAATACATACGATAGATCTACTAAATGGCCGTGTTTGTCACCAGGCACTAAGGGCTCTTTCTAATAAACCATCGTTTTACGCAGAAGGATATTTTCATTGGAAATGGGCCCTTGGGGTTACAATGACCATATGGGCAACATCGGCGATGATATTAGCGGCAGCGAGGAATAATAATACAGAGTAAATGCAAATTTCGCAGTAATCTATCGTCAATTTCATTGAACGCTAACCACATAAAATCCGGTTGAACCGTAAAACGGCTTGTGAAGAATAACGCTAGTTATACACTACTTCCTTACTTGCAGTATATTACCTCCTGATTGAATGGACAAAATACACATTTAAAGGTATTTCAGGTTGACAAAGCTTCTCTCCAGGGACGAGTCACTGCTTATTTCATATAACCCTTATTGATAATTTAAAGACCTACTCATTAATCAATTGACTGCATGATGTCCGGTTCACCCAACGGTAATGCATGTATATATAGGCAAATATCGTCGCTAAAATTTGATAGCATCCTATTTACAATAGACTTACTACTTGGTGCTGCGCGTCTATGATAAGGAATTAACGGGTGCTGTTGATAAGAAGTCAAGTTTTAAATAGGACAACACGACGTTTATTATAAATGAAGCGGCAGGAAAGTATGTGTTTTTTCAAGTGTGTGTGTGTGTGCGAGAGAGAGAGAGAGAGAGAGAGAGAGAGAGAGAGAGTGTTAGGGAGGGAGGGAACGAGAGAGAGAGAGGGGAACGGAAGGAGTGATCGAGAGAGAGAGGGAGGGAAGAGGTGAACGAGAGAGAGATAGAAATGTCCTGAAAAATACCTACCCAGACATAAACTTGAAATGATAATGACATACAAGCTCATCACAGTGCTCACAATCCAGCGGAAATTTAATCCAACGACCAATAAATAAACCATCCTCTTTGGTAGATCTTAAGTCATGTGCCTCGATAGTTAATCAGATGGCATTCAATTATCTCCATGAGCCAGCTTTTTTCCCTAGTTAGTCCATAATTGTCCACGGTATTCACATCTCTACGGCTACAGATAATCCATTCAAGTCGAAATTCTTATATTCGGGACAAATAATTCCCGAACAAGTTTTACCTGTAATACAGGAAAGGGATACCATATGGAAGTCCGTGTTTTTGTAACACACGTCTAGGATGTAAAACGAGATTAAATAAAACATAAAAGGCCCACGCATCCACGTTGTTCACACAAAACCCTGTCTGTAACCCATTCACGTGCTTTAATACACAACTACTATTTTTCAGGTCAAGTTGGTTGACTCATTTTGATGGGGGAGCGACTCAAACAGAAAGTCTGCCACGATTCCGTGTCAAACCACAGAGCTAACACTGCTGCTATGACAACAATCGGCTTGCTTGAGCCCAACATACATGTATTGCTGTGTAGTGCTTTTTTTTAAATTTAGCTTTAGTGTATTCCACGTTTAATCTACGTTGCACACTGCCATTTGCTACTATTCCACAACATCAGCCAACCGGTTACTCAAACATTTTCTCCATCCAAGCAACTAATTATGACATTTAAAATGTGCAATGAAAAGCGTGACTCTCACCTACTGCTATCACTGTGTAGATGAAATTAGATGAATATTTCATTTGTTTCCGAATCGAACTTATAAATCCAACACAAGTCTGTCGATTAAGCTGAATCCATTAACGATTTCCAAGTCGCTTCCGGATACACAAGACTGAAAGAGAAAGCGATATCGACACGTTTGCAACTGCCTGTGGATGATAAGGTCGTCCTGTGAACTAAGCCAAGGGCATGCTATAATACAGGGATTTCGCTGGTGCATACCTTAATTGAATCTGATTAAGAGGTTAGGTCGTATAACATATGTTATGCCACAGTAGGCCTATCAAGTCAGAATTGCACTGAAGTACTGTATATGTAGTATAAACGTACTATAGCATTTTAATTCGCTTTTTTCTTTTCTTTTTTATTTATTTATTTTTTAGATGAAAAAAAAACACAGTAGCACTTGATTCACGTTTGTAAGTGTAAGTTGGCCTATGTACAATTGGCCTTTACGTTTACTCTATAAAATTATATTTCGTTTAAGAAGTATAATCATACTTGCCAACGTCGCATCCCCGGCAAAACTTAACTATCGAATCAAGTTTTATCAAATGAACTTCCGATCAGTTTTTTTTTTTTTTTTTCAAAATAAACTTAGAAGTTTTGGATACAAATAAAGGTACAGTGAGTCGTTGAATGACACTGAAGACCCATACGACCGTCAATCAGAAACTTACTTTTAGTGAACGTTTTAGGTGCACTTAAAGTACACGATGTGCACGCACCTAATGCGATATTGTCCAAAATAACATCATAACGGTGGTGTCAATCTTTGTTTGCCTAATCTATTTTTCGTGTTCATTTAGAATGGTTTTAATTATTAAAACGCATCAGCGTATCGACAGACATCTGAAGATGTGCGCTTCATCAATGACATTGCATACTGAAACACCTGTAGCATTCGGCTTGAACCCGCGTTTTGTTAAAAATGGCTTCGAATAAATCACTGTCTAAGGCCCCATTCAGAATAGGGGACCAACTAGTCCGAGGGTCAAATATGGCGACCCACTACAAAGTTTGCTGTCTTATCCGCTAATAGACACTGTGGAAGTATGGAAGTATTCAAGTGAGTCGGCCATATTTGACCCTCGGACTATTTAGTCCCCTATTCTGAATGGGGCCTAACATTCACTAATGAGATCTAAAGGTATTAGATTAGTATGAATGTTGAACTGAATGTTTCTAGCGGATTTTTTATTTGACTTAAATAGATTGTACGCCAAAGTAATCCTTGAATGAAATGTGGTAAAAGTTGGAAACAAAGGGACAAGACCTCGATCGTCACTTTCCTCTGTAAAGAGAAGCTTGAGAAAACGTTTGGCTTTTTTTAATCATGGTGGTAGCAATCCTGTCCTACCTGCTCGAGGAGGTGTGTCAGACAAATAGGCTGATTGCACTCAGCCAGAATCTCCGCAGTGTTGGACCGTCTTAGCTACTACGTTGTGTGGATCTGAATGCTGTCCTACTTTCAAAACTATTGTCAACAGTTTGATACACTGAACTTTTAAGGCAATACTGCAAACTAGAAATTCCACTGCATTTTCATTAATAATTCTTTAGAAATAGTTGGTGTGAATTAATCTTGGTGTTTTTTCCACTCAATAACATATTATACGATAATATATGATAATCAACTACGGTAAAGTCTTGAAAATTTCGTCGCTTAAAAATTAATTAATATTTTTAATTGGGTAATTCCGACTAATTTTTCAAAATTACCTCTCCCCGACTCCTGGGCATGACGAAATTTTCAAAAATCCGGCCTTTGGGCTTTTATCCTTAGCGACTGTTATCTTTGACCCTCCTATATGGTGGGATATTTATTACTACTTATTAATTACTACTACTACATTTTCTGGTGGTAAATAATAATCTATTTATTAGTGCATCTCGATTAAGTTATATTTAACTTACTGTACCCGAAAACATGTTGAGAATTATTTTCTCGGTAAGAAACATATCTCCTGATAGAGGAGAAGGATCAAGATAAGCTTAATTGCAACCTTGCATCATAACCTGGACGCGACATGTTTAAAAAAATTACGCACTTGGGAACGTTTGTTGCATGCAGGGCTTTTCCCAGGATTGAGTGTCAGGCCTTCTAAAATTACCATCTGTAACTTCCTAAAAATTTACAGGGAGTTAAAATAATGATCTCCCGTTGACGATCTTCCGCAATTTAAGTTCCTTGAACTAATATGAAAACTGCATTTTTTTATTGCTTACATCGCGAACAATCTCCCGATGAAGATGTGAAAATTGCCTTTTCATCTAGCAATGATCGCGAACGATCTCTCGCTGACGATCTTNGATAAGTGCATTTTATTCTCGCCTACATCGCAAACGATCTCAAGCTGAAGATATGAAGATTGCCTTTTCGTCTCTCTCTAATCGCAAACGATCACCCGCTGATGATCTTATGCGAACGGAGTCCGCTACAAATATGAAAATTACCTTCTCGTCTCGTTTTGATCGCGAACGATCTGTTGACGATATTACGCGAACGATTCTCTGCTGAAGATATGAAAATTGCCATCTCGTCCCATTCGCATTGCGAACGATCTCCATGTACGAGCCAGGTAATCGTTAAATGGTCCTAAATTGAACATGGACATGAATAGAAGTGACGGGTACATTTCCCTTCGAGATAATATCTTGATTTTTCATTGTGTCTTCCTCATTTAGGACAGCCGCCGATAACAATAACGGCGTTACAAATGACAAAGCCGCGGCCTGTGACTTCTATTTGCCGGCTTGATAACGCACCTTAAGCCAGGTAACTAAAGACAAAAGGCCGACGTTCCCGCAATTGAGAACGGGAATTCACATCTAAACCATCTATATTGTGAGTAACAGCTCGCAGGGGCGCACTATTGTTCCTATCTCCCATTGAGAGTGTTATCGGCAATGATATCCTGATCGTATCATTGTCTTGAATCAACTGACGCATTACCTTCATGTTTGAGCTGGACAACGCGGCCATATTTGGTGACGAACTTTTCAAAAATTATCGAGTACCTCATTTTCAAGGTCGACGAAGTTTTCAAAGGGAAAAAATTACGTCGGCGGAAAATCGTCTGCCGACGAAATTTTCAAGAACGACGAAATTTTCAAGACTTTACCGTACAGCAATATATACAAAAAACTCTATCCAGATGATATACTGGAGTAAAGGAAATGAATTGCTCATTCAGTGACAACACGCAATTAGAAATTTTTGATTACTTTGAGGGCAATATCAGATATTTTTCCATTCTTCATAGATAAATGCAAAAACTGATTTCTGTTTTGTGCCATTTTTTTCCTTTATTTTCTTTTGGCTATTTTTTATTATAAAAATAGGACAAGTAATTAAAAATTCTAATCTAAAATTTTACTCTTCTAGCTACAAGTGATCACATCTAAAATTAGATGTCTGATACAGTGAAAAATATTCACTGACATTTGTTGAACATGGACCACAGTTACTTAAAATTTTGTATTTTAACACATCTGTAAATGGTGAAAGAAGCCAATTTGGGCCATACCACCAGTGAAATGGTCACCTTTTTCTATACCATATTTCTTCTCACTACCTTAAACAGTGGATGTTAATTAATAAAATTCCTTATGGAATGCTACAACAATCGGAATAAGAATGAGGATTCAGACCATCAAAGTCTTCAGCGTGACCAATAACACTCCCAGCCAATCAGCACACATCAAAATATTTGCCAGCATATTTTACTGCTCCCACAGCTCACTTCCAGCTATTAAGTTGATAACATAGTTTATCACATAGAATTGCTTTCACTGCCCAAGTCAGTCCATTCCCACTTCATTCATCCAATCCTGTTCAGTCATTGGCCAGCCATTACACCAATAATCAGCGCGTGTTATTCCTCAGGTGGGCGTGATTCGTCCCTTCAGTATCTTGACGTCCTCCACTGGTTTGTCGTTCTGGTCAGTTTCGACCATTCCCAGTCTCTGGACCACAGACATACCTGATGCCACTCTCCCAAAGATAGCATGTTTGCCGTCCAACCACTGGAAATAATATAATAAATATATGACGAAAATATTTTTTCATAAAAACTGAAAACATTGACACCTGCTAACCACACAACAATCCATGGCAAATATAAATTGGAGCAATCAGGGGAAACGGCCAAAACAGAAGATCTTGTATAATTTCAGGTTTTATAAATTATGTAATTTATTTCGTTATGTCCAATACCTTCAATCAGAGGAGTTTTTAATTTCTGATTTTCTTTTTTTTTTTTTTCCTTCATATAGTTTTTCAAAACATATAGTTACTAGCCCCTGATGAAAAGTACACTGATTTGCTAGTGATCTGATCCCAGTGGCAATTGTTCATAGTCTTTATTACCTGTGTTGGGGCCAATGTAATGAAGAACTGACTCCCATTTGTGTTAGGTCCACTGTTGGCCATGGACAGGATACCTGCCCCAGTGTGCTTCAAGTCAGGATGGATCTCATCCTCAAATTCTTGGCCATAGATGGATGCTCCACCTCTCCCTGCAATAGTAATGCACAGTGTGATGCAAGCTGGACTTTTCATACAAGTTATGAATTAATAATATTTACAAAGACAAAGTAATAACACACACAGCACACCCCTGCACATTATTCTCAATTTAATATACAAGAAATGTAAATAATGTTCATAAGTTATACTCTTGTTTTATAACAACTTTTCATTTAAAGAAAAAGTGCAAAGACAATGAATGAAACAGGAGAAAAAATTCCCACAGTTCATACCAATTAATACCTGTTCCAATTAATATCGACCTGTACCAGATAATACCAACCTGTACCAGTTAATACCAACCTGTACCAGTTAATACCAATGTATACCAGATAATACCAACCTGTACCAGTGGGGTCACCACCTTGAATCATGAAGTCCGGAATAATTCTATGGAACTTAACCCCATTGTAGTACCCCCTCCGGGCCAGCTCAGCAAAGTTCCTGCATGTGTTGGGGGCGTGTTTCCAGTACAGCTCTATAACTATGTTACCCATTCTGGAAATAAATTATTGGTCAAATATATATCTTCAATGACAGCAAAGTCCCTGTATTGGATGGGGACATGTCATCATTAAAACTCTGTACCTATTTTACACACCTATACATTTTTCTTACC